ATATTACTGCGGATATCTGATGATAAATTGTTCCATAAATTAACGGATCGGTATTTAAATGTTCTTTTTCCAAAATCATTCTGCCATTTTGGTGAGATCAAAGTGTTTTTTGATTTGCTTCTTGTATTTATGTTATGATATTCATCGATTAATTCGTAAAAATGTGTTAAGTATGCTGAACAGTTCCTGATAAGCATTTTCCTAATGAAAAATGGATTTGGAAAAGGCAGGGCAGCACACACATGCCAAACATTTAAAACCGGATTACTGTTCTTGCACATGACCAGTGATTTGTAGTGGGCCCAGAACTCTATACTGAATTTTCCTGAATATAACATGAAAAACTAAACAAAATAAAGACCCTCTTTAGTGGCCTCTAATAAAAAGTATGGTAAACCACAAATCATCTTGTAAACTTCCAGCAGGCAGATGGCCATGGGATCAAGGGGTTTTAAAGAGCCCCATTTTCCAGAAATACACTTTTAAATTATTAGGAAAATTATCATTCACATTAAAGTTGTTGAAATTAATTATAAACTTTTGATATTTTTCACATTTTAATTCATTGGAGTTTCTAGACACCTGAGGTTTTATATCCTTAAAATCCCCCCAATCATGATATGCCAACCATGATATGCCTGAGGTGAGTATGAATTCAAGTGAATTTAAGTACAGGCATGTTCCAGTACTGATCCCTGTGGATATACAAGGTACAAATCATAGCTAAAAAGTTACGATTTAAATACTGAAGTTAAAATGTTTTAATTGACTAATTTTATTAATGTTATAAATGCTAGTATATAATAAGTAGAAAAAACTTGTAATTAAACTTACAGCAAACCTATGTTTCCTTTTTAGGTGCATATCTAATCTTGCCAGGCCCATGGCCTGGCAACCTGGAACGGTGCAGTACATTCTTTCTTTCTTTTTTTTTCGTTGTTCTTTATAAATCTATAAATGATTAACATACATGAGTGATTACAGTGGATAGGATTTTTGTATAATATAATAATAATTTGCTTATCAATTTTTAAACCCAATGGACTCGGACATGCCAAGGTGATGCTCTCTATGCTGAGCTATGGTAGAATCTATGAATAACAAATGGGTTGAGTGATAAAGGTATGTAATAACATTCTAACAACTACAAAACAGATTGAAGGGTTAAATGCATGAGAAAATTCTACCAAATACAAAACAGAATTAGTGATTAATGATGAAACCATTCTACAAATCATACTGAGTTATTTGGATGGATGCTAACATTCGGGGAACTACAAAACAGAATGAGTGGTTAGAGTGCATAATAATATTACACAAACTACAAAACAAACTGAGTGGTTGGATGGATGAAACTCTACAAACAAGACATATCGAGTGATTGAAGTAGATGATAACATGCTATAATCTACAAATGAGGGAGTGCATGGTAACACATGAAATACAAAAAAACGTAAAAGTAAGAATATTTAGTTAACGCTTCATAATCAGGCAAGACAATTTCAACATGACCACCCAATCCGCAAACCACTGACTCGGAGCTACAGGACATCACAAACACACACATGCATCTAACCTCCAATTACAGGATATCACAAACACACAACATACATCTAACCTGCAATTATACAGGGGCGTTGGAAGCTATTTTTATTAGTGCGGCCAAATATAATCATCATTGCATTAACATGACTTCTTTTGATTAGTTTTGTCTTTGTCTATGGAAAACACGCACTATTCTATTACATCAATCATTCATACTTGTACTAAATATATCATTTTTTCATTTTTCATTATCCATTATTTTTTTTATAAATGCTGTCCACAAGCCACAGCATTGGTAATTTTACATTTATTCCCAAGAAACAATGCTTACGGTCATAAATGTACACTAGCCTATAAAACAGATCCTTTTCTACATTTAAGACCTCTTTAAAAGTGCTGGTTAGCCTCAATGCTGGAATTATATACCTGTAGTTTGATAGAGATTATGGCATCAGCGCAATGAAAGTAACTAGAAAAAATCACTTGTTAATAATTTTGATACAGTAGGGTAGACTGGGGTAAGAGGCCCCCCTTAACTTAACTAGATCATAATTACTCAAACAAAGCAAGTTGGAATGTATTGTTAGCATCAGTGGACATTCTATGTAAAGAGGAATAATACCAACATACGTATGGTGTTAAAGTTGCTTTGGCAGAAATAAGAATTAGCCAAATGTATTTTTTGGAAAATGGGCTTCTTACCCCGTGTAACACTTTGTATGGAAATATATATATATATTGTGGTTCTGACAATTTCTTGTTGTTAGAGCTAATAAGATAAATAGCATTTAATAAAACTACTGAACATGATAAGCAATATAATGTTTACATAATTATTTGAGTTTGCGAGAACGTCTTTGACAAGACTTGGTCTTATTTTCTTCCTACTTTAAAATCTATAGGCCTAAATACTAAACTGGTAAATGAATACAATATACATAGAATGAAAGCTCATTGCAACTGTAGCGGACAAGGGTGTAGATAGCAGAATTTGACATTGAATTGGCGTCAGTCTTTTGAGTGTGCGTGTTGGGGGTGGGTGCTGCAACTAGTCTAAACTGTCATCTCAATCACAGTTCTGACAGATGTATCCCCTTTCGCCAGGTGTGCATTCCTCGTGGGCCCACAGCTGACATACAGTGCACTGAATCCACTTCTCTCCTGCTCTACTGTTGCGGAAGAGCTCACCACAAACAAGACATGGCCATTCTTCGTCTTCGTCGGAGCTTGCTTCTTTCTGATTGAGATGTTTTTGCTGCTGTTTGGTTGATTTTCCATCCGCCATTTTGGTCTTCCTTTGCCGCTTCACCTTGGTCTTCTTGCTCAGCTTCTCTTCAAGAAGAGGAATACAAAACTTGCAATGGATATCATTGGTAATCCAAATAATCAGACACTCGAAACACATACATATACATTGTATGGGCCCCTGGGTCATAGGAGCCCTTATATTCTAACCCCTAAATTTATAAGAAACACGTGCAAATGTGAAAGTTTGTCATAAAACTTACCAGCAGTTGTTGTAAGACTTGAAAACTCGTGGAAGCCATGTGTGCAAGGAGTCTTTATCCATGAGGGCAGCATTTAGCTATTGTAACTTCCCATTCATCAGATAGCGCAGGGAGGCTTTTTACGCCGGGTAGGCTTTTTACCCCAGTCTACCCTACTCTTTTATTAGTCAACTATTACAGTATTGTACAAGTTTGTATCAAGCATCCGAGATTTCACTACAGTACAACAAAAATCCTTCACAGGGTTACAGTAGAAGAAGCAGCGACTTTAAAAGAAATCTTGGCAGATGTTGAACACATGTGGACTTATGTTTGGTAAGCTTACTTCTGATTGGTGACGTCTTTTATATATCGGAAGCTCATGGCAGTCTTTGCACTGCGGGTACGTGTCTTGGTCGTCTTCCACATCATGTAAGTATTCACCGCATTGAATGCAACAAGGCTCATACTCGCAGGCATAATATAATTTCTCGACGTGATCAATACAATCGTGGTCCTTGATAAAGACCTGCAGGCCACGTGGAAAGTTCAGGTCATCTGAAAAGAACAGTATGATTAAATAACCAAATAAATTATTAACAGGAATATGCACATTACCAATCAGAAGTAAACTTACCAAACATAAGTCCACATGTGTACTCAACATCTGCCAAGATTTCACTAAGTTGCTGCTTCTGGTTTTTTTTGGCAAAAATCAGATGCCAAATTGTCACATTGGGTGCACTACGAACACTAGATAACGTATAAAGCTGATTTTAATAACAAGGTTGTATTTCGATGTGTACACGGTGGACCGTAGCCATATTGGTAGCCCCTAGCAACTAGAGAGGGCGCTGGACCAATAATCTTTATAATAGATATTACATCACAACTGTTGCTAGGTTAGGAGTAAAGTAAGCTGTAACGTCTGCTTTTGCTAACTTATCCTTCAATTGGATAAACACTTGTTGCTCAGTTTCACCCCATGTCCATTCAACGTTGTTGTGTGTGAGCAGTCGCAAAGGTGTTGACAGTGATGCATAACCCGGAATGAAACGTGATACGTATTGCGCCATTCCTAGAAAAGATCGTATTTCTTTTGCGTTCTTTGGTGGTTCCATGTTGACAATCGCTGAAAATATATGGCCAAAGAAGCTGACTTTTGTCCTTGAGAAAGTACATTTATCTTTATTTAGACGAGCGTTACAATCTTTCAAGCGTTGTAGCACCGCTTTGAGGTTATCATCGTGTTCCTGTTTAGTTGTTCCATAGACTATTATGTCATCCGACATATTGCGACAACCTTGGAGACCTGCAAGCATTCGTGCAACCGCGTTTTGAAATATCTCCGATGCTGCGTTGACACCAAACATGAGACGTTTATAGCGGAAAATACCAGAGTGTGTAGTGAATGTAGTAACATAGCGACTGTCCGGATGAAGTTCAAATTGATGGTATCCTGCTTTGAGGTCTAGTGTGTTGAAGAATTGCGCTTTGTTAAGGTCTGTGATTATTTCTTCAATTGTAGGTATAGGAAGCTTTTCACGTTTTATAGCAAGGTTCGCTTCTCTCATATCAACGCAGATTCTGACTTCGTTTGACTTTTTGGGCACGAAAACTACTGGACTTATCCATGGAGTGGGCCCTTCTATGCGTTCAATTATGTCGTCCGCTATTAAACGATTGATTTCTTTGTCCACATCCTTTTGTACGTGAAATGGTATTCGACGATGTTTCTGAATTTTCGGCTGGACGGTCTCATCTATGTGTAATTTAATTTGCTCACCTTTTATCCTTCCCATACCGTTAAATAGTTCACTAAACTCGATTACTACTTTGTCGGTGTTCGGTGGTGTAACGCCGTTGGTTATTTGTAACAGACCTAAATCAACTGATGTTTGGTATGACAGAAGATTACCCGCATTACCGTTTACAATGCTGAAGGAGGCGGTGACTTGACGTTTGTTAACAGTTATTTAACAGTTATTTTAGCTTATATTTCATCCATGACTGGAAGAGGGTGTGATGCATTATATGCAAATACTTGTGCTTTTGATTTTCGCAAACATGTATTTGGAGCTGCTGCTGTCTTCTTCAGTTTATTGAATGTATCGCTGTCCATAATATAACGCTTGCTTGTGAGTCAATTCCGGCTTTAATTTTCACCCCTGCAATTTCTACTTTGCAACTTGGGAGGCCCTTTTTTGTTAAACAATTGTTTGCGAATACATATTCCTAGTCTGAACTCTCGCGATTGACAGGTTTTACGCTAACTGCTCTAGCCCTTCCTCTACTACGACAATGTTTTGCGAAATGATTTCTTTTACCGCACGAATGGCATGTCTGACCTGCTGCAGGGCACGGCTTTCCCTGTTTGTGTGGGTACACGCCCCCACAGTTATGGCATGTCGTGCGATTATAAGTTGCCTTAGGTTTCGATATAGGTTTAGTGTATCTCGGGTTGTATGTTTTATGTTTGAAAAGTTTATTTACTTCTGCTCCTTGCTGCTGTGTATTTCCACTGCTCTCATTCATCGACTTTGATTGCATGACTGTGTGCTCATGCGCACGAATGAGAGCTAATGCAGAGTCTAGAGTTACTACCTTGTCTGAATTTAACAGTTTCTCTCTAATTTTGTGATTTCTTATTCCTATTATTACCTGATCTTTAATTAATGACGTTTTTAGATCTTGAAATTCTCAGGGCTCAGCCAAAGTTTTCAAAACTGTGACGTATTGGTCGATCGTTTCGTCTGATGCCTGATGTCTATTGAAAAAGACGTTTCGCTCATACGTCACATTTTTCCTCTGTTCACAGTACTTCTTGAACTTTTCTAATACCTTCTCAATTTTCTTTTCGTTCCCCTCTTCTTCCCAGTCGAATGTATTATACATGACAAGCGCCTCATTTCCGATAACGGAGAGCAACGTGGCTACTCGAGTGGCGGACGGTTTGCTGCTGACCCCTGTAGCTAGTTCATAGTTGTCCCAGCGTTGTTTAAACTGCTTCCATTTCGTATGGATTTGTTCACCTGTGAGATCAAGCTGTCCTGGGACGGGGAGCATAATTCTGTTCATCCTCGTCGCCAATGTAATGTTTAAGCCTGCTTTGAGACCATGAAATAACAACGACGAACACTAGATAATGTATAAAGCTGATTTTAATAACAAGGTTGTATTTCGCCGTGTACACGGTGGACCGTAGCCATATTGGTAGCCCCTAGCAACTAGAGAGGGCGCTGAACCGATAATCTTTATAATAGATATTACATAGACCTCACTAAATGACAAGTAGTGCCCATCATCAGCTAGAACAGGAAATGGCAATAACTTGACATCTTTACATCGTTTATCTTTAAGTGGTAAAATAAATAAAATAAATGTTAAAGAGTGGATAGTAATGTGAATACAAAGAAGCAACAGCTTGTCAAATGTTAACAATACTTCCAAGATGGCTATTGGAACAACTGTGCAATACAGGCGATTAATAAAGGATAAAGATAGATGTAAACAGATACTTACTGTTCTGACTACATTGAATTACATGTAACTTACCTACAAATACTACAGCTTGCCTCTCCACATTTTCGCACCTGAAAGCAGTAGTGCCCCTGGATACAGCAATGCTCAAGAAAGTTGTGAAGTTGATCAAAGTTCTTAACATCATTTGCAGTTAGATGGTCTCGCTAAAATATAAATTGAAGAAAAACTGTTTGGTTATACAGTTTAATTAATATTAAAATAAAATTGTGCTTTGCAGTTAAATACCTATTTTATTGAAGAATATAACGTTCAATATGAATTCATTTATTTGCTTTTTAACTACACAAAATAAATGATTTTACATTTAAAAGAAAATGGTTTTTAGAATACTGTACATATATAAAAATGAAAGAAATTGAGGTTATGTGCAATGGCGGTCCCACTCACGACCTTCAACAATAATTTCAACAACGTGCTTACCTGAAGCTGTTGTTCTATGTCTAAACATTTCTGCCATAGTTCATCTATGTCATTCTCCGAAGCAGGCTCTTTAATGTCTTAAATGTATGTCCTTTAATCAGAGCCTTTTCATCTGGGTAGTGAGCAGGTCAATAGGCATCTCCAACGATTCCGCTAAATCCTGCTTTAATTTGTCAGTTGTTAACTTTAGCCTCATCTCTTTCAGGTTATTGGCTTTGGCTACAAGAGAATAAAGAAAGTGTAGTATACTTTCTATTGAAAGCAAGGCTTCCATGAAATTCTAATTCCATTTTATGTTTCACCTTTCAGGTGGTAACTCCTTTTAATGCAGAGTTTAACATGATCACTCTATCAAATAAGGAAAATCATGTGATGAATTTTATATCTTTAAAAGATAAACTCACCAATCGTTTTTTTCAAAGTTGTCATCACCTTTATTTCACATTACTCCAACTCCTTGCAGTCCCATATTTACAACACTCATAACTCTTTCAATAGTGTTGGCCCATGAATTACTGGGAGCTGTGCGCAATGCCACCAAGCCATCCAAATCCAATTGAAGAAATAGAGAAATCAAAGATAGCTTCACGCTCATGAATGTGCAACGATGGTCTGGTCCACCATCCGTATAAATGAGTAGAATTGGTGAGACATCTGAAAGTCACAAACATTATCCACTTTTATTGTTTTTTATGGTGATAATTTTTTTATGGTGATATTAAGTTTTTTAATCCATTTTTATTACCTTCGCACAACTCTACAGTACATGTCGGTGGTACATGAACTCTCTGTATTGCCTTCTACTTAATTTAATTGTTACATTATTTCATTGTTTTTACCTTCATGCAATTGTAGGATCCCATTCAGTTCGGCAGCATGTCTCATAGGAGAAGATGGTTGCAGAATGCTGTCCTTGAAGCTTATGTGGACATCACCTCTATAGAAGCTTCCTTCAATGCTTATTGGAATATCAATCTAAAAGAATAAATTATTATTTTAATGCAGTAAACATTTTATTTAAATTAAAATTTTGTAATATAGGTACTGTAAAATCTACTTACCAAAAAGTTGACAGATGGTGTCAGGGTGCACTTTGAAAAATCGTGGTCGCCTACAGCCATCACTTGGTTA